TCTCTCTCTTGCATGCACACACACACTAATAAAATACTCAGTGTGCCCCCACCTCCTCTGGAGTCTGTAGGAAGGTCCATTAAGAGGCCCTGCTGGGAGCTCCCTAGAGAAACTCGAACCATAAAAGGGTAGTGAGATGGCTCAGTGGGTAAAAGCATTGGCCAAGTCTGCTGCTCTGGGTTCAATCCCTCAGCATCCATAGTTGTCACCTGACACCCCCCCACACACACACACACATACTACATAGACAGACAGACAGACGGATGGATAGATCACAGGTATATAGACCATTGGGGCTTAGCACGAGTGTGGGCCTCTCACTTTGCAGGTAACCTGAGGCTAGGGAACGCCCTCCCACAGCCAAATCTGCCTCAAACCCTGTTCTTTTTCTGAGCTACAGGGAGGAGGAAGCAAAGGATTCTCACTCACGCACACACGTGTATTTCCAGTGTGCAGAGGGAGAAAGCACACCATCGAGGAAGGGAATTTTGCCATCCTGCATTGGGGGTCCAATGGAGCCGGGCAGTACCGCCTCCTACCCCCTGAGCCCACCAACCAAGTCCCTCCTCACTCCTCCTCCCCAAAAGGGAGCCGCACAAACAAAGCCTTGAGGACTGAGCACGGCTGAAGACAACGGCTGGGCTGAAGACAACGGCTGAAGACAACCGTGAACTCTGATTCCCTCTCCTTCCAGGCCGACTGGAATGGTCACTTTCCCTGTCAGTTAATGAGGAAGGAGAGACACGCCTACCCCTCCCCACCCCCCGCCTGGACCAGGTACACAGGGCTCAGCTCTTAATGGAGCTTGGCCGGAGCCTCACGGAGAGGAAAGTGTTTTCCACCGGCTGAGCTGAGTGGTGCGGCCATTGCACTTCTGACCTAATAAACACAGTGATTAGGGTCACGTGGGTCCTGGGCCCTGGCAGCCGGCTTCTGGGGATGGGCTCGTGGCGGCGAAGCAGGCAGGGTGGATGTCCCCTCCTGCGAAGTCAACCTCCCCCTCTATGTATCAAGGGTGGGGACAACTGAAAAAGAGCCAAGACCACGGCCAGAAGTCCCCAAGTCTGTTCCTAAGCTGGCAGCCTTGGGCCCATTATCCCATCTGCTCAGTCACTCTGCTGGGCTTTGTTCTGTTTGCTCATTCAGAATGGGTGTAATAAGCCCAGCTCAGAGGCAGGTGGTGGTCCAGGAATTCTGAGTTCGAGGGCAGCCTGATCTACTGAGAGTTCCAGGATAGCCAGGGCTACAGAGAAACCCTGTCTCCAAAAATAAACAAAAACCAAACCAAACCAACCAACCAACCAACGACAACAAAAAGCCCAGAAATACACAAACTGAACTGTTTTCTCAAGTGAAGTTATTTCCTGGCTGATGTCAGGGAGGGACCCAGATTACCACAGAAAGAATGGCTTCCCTGCTCAGGAAAAGACTAAACAGAGAGCAGAAGCCAGCAAGCTCTTTAGCTCAGGTGTGCACACGGCCTGGCCCAGGCTCCTTCAACCCGGGCATGGGAGCAGCTGCCTAGCTCAGGTGACAGAAGACATCTCAACCCACATGGCTCTCTAGGCTTCCTCTGCTGGGCTCAGTGCTGGTCAGTTGTAATCTGAGCTGCTCAGGAGCGGCTGGTTTGGCTAAGTCATGAAAGGTGTGTCTGCCTCCTGGAGCAGCTGCCAGGCTCAGCTGTATTAACAGTGGCCTCTAGCGGCCTCTAGTGGCAGACTCCCAGAACAGCATGCTAAACGCCAGCTTGGCAGCTGGAAGAATTCTCTAACTGACCTACATTCAGACTTGAAGCTGGAAAGGCCTGTCTTAGCCTGATGATCAAGGAAACTAAATTCTAGGTGTCACGTGGTTCTCCGAGGTGACACAAAGTCCTCGCACTCCTGGATCCGCACATTTTGCCTTGTGGCTTCAGACAGGGGGATCTTAAAGATTTATTGTTTTAACTCGAGTGTGCCTGTGTGGGTTTGTGTGCACCCTGTGAGCGCAGAAGCAGCTGGAGACCAGAAGAGGACGTCCGATGCCCTGGCGTTGACTGGGGTCACAGGCAGTCGTGAGTCACTGCGTTGGAATGCTGTTCCTTTCTAAGAGAAGAGGGCGCTCTTCACCACCCAGCCCTCTCTCCCATCCACACAGGACTCTCATTTTCTTTTGCCCCCGGAGGCAGGGATCTGTCTCACTCTGCAGGCCAGGCTGGTCTTGGACTTGCCACCGCAGGTTTGGAAGGACAGACACAATCTCTCCACGAGACCAAAGCGGCCTTACCGGCCATACTTGCCTCTGCACTTTGCCCATCCTAGGGAACAGACGACACAGAGTGCTTCTGGGCAGGAAGCGCCCAGCTCGAGCAGATGTGCTTGCCAATGCTTCCTCCTCCACACCCTGCAGCGTGGTGCCAGGGGCCTCGGGGAGCCTCAGACTGGCTTGAGGATCGGGGGTAGAAGCCATTTGCCGTTTGTGGGAAAAGCTATTTTGACATACTCTGCAGACACAATCCAAAAATAAATGAAGCCAAGGCCTTCCAGAGGGCTGAGTAGAAAAGGCTTTGCTGTCACGCCAACCAAAGCCAGGGTCTGTGGCTCTGGGCGCAGCTACTCCTGCCAACGAGCCTCCATCTTTTCCTGATGGGGGAGATTTCATTTGATTCACTCAGCAGTAACCTCAAGACCTTACACAGGTGTGGGAAGACAGCAGGGAATGAGAATACGACCAGGCCTCCCTCTGAGGTCAGTGCAGGGAGGGGGGAGCTGTGAGGGCAGACAGGCCTAGAGAAGCAGGGGTTAGGAGGGAGGGGTATGGTTGGTGGTAGGGTTCTGGCCCAGAAAATGGGAGGTTCTGGGTTCTACCCACACTGGAAAGGAACGAACATGAATGAACACACACACACACACACACACGGCTGAAGAGGTATGTAGTGGCTTTAAGGTCCACTGGTACTAGAAGCTGGTTTTTAAACGTTTCCAGTACCAGATCCTGCTGTGAATACACATTCTGCCATAAGCAGTAGTGTGATCATGACTGCCGTGAGTTCAAGGCCATCCTCTGACTCCAATTTTGGCTAGGAGGATCCCAAGTTCGAGGTCATTCCCAGCTACAGAGAGTTAAGGGCTGCCTGGGATACATGAGAACCTGTTGCAAACCACAAGAACCCCAAGACAAGGGCCAGGCGTGGTGGCACACCCCTGTAATCCCAGTATTCTGGGAGCCCGAGGCCAGCCTGGTCTACCAAGTGAGTCCAAGATAGCCAAGGCTACCCAGAGAAACCCTGACTTGGGGATCGGGGAGGAAGAACCTCAAGACATGTTTCCAGGCGGCTTCCTAGGCACCCTATGGTCCCAGAGCCCTCCCTTCACTGCCCCTTGCCCTACTGACTGCTCCACGTCGGGCACTGTGGAGCTCACACAGCAGCCAAGGTGCTCAACTCAGCCTGGGCTTTCTCTTCTCCCCGGGCCAGGAGAGGCAGGGGAGGGTCTAGGAGGCAGACCATGGGGTCACGGACCTGCTCACCCTGGCTGTGGCATCCGGACCAGCGGTCACCATCTCCAGGGGACTGAACGAGGGCAGAGAGGCGGCTCGCCCAGGCCGGGGTATGTGGCACCCCGCTCTGGACGTTCATTTGAAGGCTTATCTACTCCCAACCTCAAACCGTCTCTCCAAGTCTAGATCCTACCCACCGACGGCTGCCTCTCTCCTGTCCTTTGCTGAGCCCCGGAAGTCCCACAGCCACCTTCATTGCTCTCTGAAGGTCCCTTCTCCTCCGCCTACAGTGGGACTGGGCTACCTGTGGCCCGCTGTCACAGCAAGGGTCTGGGGGCTCCTCACCCTGACGGTGTGACAGCTAATTGTGCTGCCCTGTTACACAGGCTCCCTCCCGTCCATGGAGACCGGGTGTCTGTACCTCAGGCTTCCTAGCAATCACTAGAAATCGTGAAACCCTTGGCCTCCCTCTTTTGAGGTTTTGTGCTATACGGAAACAGGCCTGTGCAATTTTCAGGGCTTGCTGGTGGGTTTTCCTTTTTCTTTACTACTGAGCGAGTATTTTCCTAGTTTCTGTTCTCTGATCCATGTAAATAAGATCCTTACGCGTTTAATACGGTGCATTAGCCCTGGACCTTGGAAAGGTCGAGCCTTTCCTGGACCTATATAGTTGCTAACTTCTGTACACTGCTAGGTGCCTTTTTCTCATCGCTGAGAGAAGAGCTTGAAAGTGAAGACCTGTGGAACAGAACGTTGGTCACTTCCCAAAATAAACACACAATGACACAGGCACTTGGCTGCCTTGGGCCCACAGCAGCATAGGAGTGGACCTCCAACTTCAGGGGATGACTGTGTCCCCGGCATAGGCCCTGGTCATAGCTAGTCAGCTTGACACACGGGAGGAAACCTCAACCGAGGAACTGCTTTCTTCTGGCCTGTGAAGCGGTTTCTTGATTGCTGGCTGATAAGGAGGGCGCAGCCCACTGTGGGTGCCGGTCTGGGGCAGCGGGCCTGGGTTCTCTAAGAGAAGGAGCTGAGCAAGCCAGCGGGCAGGGTCTCTCCGTGGTCTCGGCTGCAGCTCTGGCCTGAGTTGCCCTGTCCTCCTGCCCTGCCCTGTCTTCCCTGGGTGGTGGCCTGTGGGCTGAAGAGGAAATCAACCCTTTCCTCTCCAGGTTCTCGAGGCGGCTGAAGAGCAGCTAGAGCGCAGCCAGCTCACCCTCTCCCTCAGAGCGCTAGCACACATCACCTGAGGCTTTCTTTGCTTCTACCTCTTTCAAGCAGGGGCTGATCTTGCTCAGGGGAGGCCGGGTGGAGGTCCTCAACCCCAGCAATGTGGCAGCCCCACTCACCCAAGCGGATGTGGCACTGCAAGCCTTCATCCCAGCACCTGAGGTTCAGTCACTTTCAGAATTGATGGTCTGTATGTATGGAAAGTTAAGGCCAGCAGGTGCTGCCCAGTGACACCCTGTGTCAAAAAAAAAATAAAGCCAATAATCTAGAACAATACCAGATCACAGCAGGGATTTCACCAGCAACAATGCTTTACTGTGGAAATCTCCATGTTTACATAGGTACCAACACCCTTCCTCTCACCCCGACCACCCTGCAAATCCAAAAAGATTAAAAAAAAAAAAAAAAAAAAAAAAAAAAAACTGAATTATGTCATGTATAAAAAGCTCTTGCCTACTTTTTCCAAAGCCCTAGGAGTGTCACCTCCTGTGGGAGCTCGTGCAGGCCTGGCCTTGTACTCACTAGACCGCTGCTCCCTCCCTGGGTCTGTGTGTCTGTGTGTGTGTGGGGGGGGATAGGCACTGCTCTGCTTCCCTTCAGAGATTCACGGCTCCATCATTTCACATTTTCATTCCCCACTCGACACCTTCTCAGCAACTTGCTTGTTGGATGCATTTTTCCTTTGGCAAAAACCCAACATGGCTTTGCGTGGGCTGTTCAGTGTCAGCGGCAGCGTGGCTGCTCAGGCTCTGGAAGGGAAACAGGGAGAGCTGTGTGCGTATTCCTGGAAGTGCGCACTGGAGGCTGGAAGGGGCTGTGCAGTTAATGCGCCTCATCGGCGCTGCCAGCTTTTCAAGTCTGTGACCATTGGCCAGAATACAAATGTTCCCAAAGACGACCCTTCTGCTTCAGAGGAGGTGTGCAAGAAGCACATGGCACTCGAGGTCATCCGGAAGATGGCTGACGAGGACCTGGGTGTGCCCGAGACAGCATCACATCTACCCAGAAGGGTATGCCTTAAGGATCTTCACGTCATCCACGGGACGGTCCTGGGAGTTTGTTTCCACCATGCCCACTCGATTCACCATTCCTATACCCTGGCATACTCGGCCAAAAATGGTATGTTTGCCATCCAGCCACTGGGTGGGGGCCAGGGTTACAAAGAACTGGCTGCCATTGGTGTCTGGCCCTGCATTGGCCATTGCGAGAATCCCAGCCCCTGAGGAGATAAGAGAGAAAAGCATGAACAACGGCCCCTGGCGCCAGCTGAGTGCCAACGCTGTCGGTGGACGCAGGGGACTGCACGCCCTCTCTGTCACCAACCAGGACGCCAGCACCCCTTCCCAGGTGCACGGCGGCCTCGCCTCGACCACCCCAATGGCCTCCGCCTCCATCTCCCCAGTCTCATGTGTTGCTCCTCACTAACCCTGGCCAGCACCTCTCACTCCTCTCCAGAGCGAGGCCTTACTTTGCTCTGAGAAAGCTCCAGACTGCCTTTCCTTCATGACACTTCACACGTGGGTAGACTCCAGAACACAGACCAGTGCTCAGAACTGCCAAGGACTCTCAAGAGGCGCTGTTTTCTTTCATCTGCCAGGGCGCTTGTGGCGCCACGCTGGGCAGCTGTCTGGCAGCACGCCATGGTGTCAGGCACTCACCTTGAATCACAGCCAAATGAGCGAGCTTCAGTATCACCCCCTCCCCTGCCCAGCCAGCCAGATTACACACTCACCAGTGAACTTCAGGTCCGGATGAAGCTCGTCTTCAAACTGTTTGCCGTAGATAGACGCGCCGCCTCGACCTGCCCAACCAGAAGACAAGCAGTGAGCCAGCCGACCTCAGCCCAAGACGAACAGCCTGAGGTCAAAGGACTTTCCAGAGTACAGGGATGGAAGAGGCGGCGGGCGCCTCAGCCCCCAGGAAGGCACATCACAATGTTCGGGCTGTGGCTTCACTCGGGTAAGACAATACCATCTGCTTGTTAAATCAACGTTCACCGTCTACATGCAGGAAGCCAGGACGGTATCCCAAGGGGCAGTGGTACCAGCACGACCCTACAGAGATCCTCCCCTCGTGACTGGCAGGGAACACATTTCTCAGGGCTTTGGCGAGAGTGCTCAGGCCCTCAGCCCAGCGCCAGCACAGACACCACTGACCAACACACTCGTCCCTGCTGTGCTCAGCTCCTGTCCACAAATCCTACCGACCCACCTCTCCAGGCACCTGCTGCACAGGATCCCAGGTGGCTGTTGCCTCCCCTCGGGCAGGTGATGGTCAGGAAGAGCTACCAGCTTAGGGAGGAAGGGACGGTGCTGAGAGACAGGCACAGTGGAACATGATCACACTTGCAGAGTGCACGGAGAAGATGGGGGGGGCGTTTAAAGGGAACACAGAGACTGGGGCCTGCTGGCACCACCACCAGGTCCAGTGTGGTCAGGGCGGTGCCAGGTGCTTAGGCTCCAGCAGGTTCCCTGGCACATAAACGAACGTGGACATGAAAGCCCACACTGTAATTCCTGCATTCAGGAGGCTGAGGCAAGAGGCTGGAGCTCAAGACTAACCTGAGTTACATTGTCTCAGAGAAAAGGAAGAAAATGTGGTGTTCACACAGGAGAAACTGACAGGAGGCAGGCTCTCATGAGTGCTTACAGACTACACAGGCCTGGCTGAGCTACTGGCTTGTCCACGCTGAGCGGCCATGACCAGACATGAGAGTATGTGAGCTGTGCCTCTGAGTCTACGTGCAGCAGAAACCAGGCGGGAAGTAGGGTCTGCCCTCCCCAAGCAGCCTGCTATAAAGGAGCAGGCTACAGCACGTGTCGGTCTGGCTGCCCCAGGACCACGGCTACTGTGTGTGTGTTCGCTGGATTTTAGTTTGTTCTTTTTTGAGACAGGGTCTCACGGTGTAACTGGTTTCTGCCTCCTGAGTGCTGGGTTCAAGGGAATGCACCACGACACCCAGCTTTGTTTTTAAGTCCTTTTCTTCCCCCCTCAGGTGCAAAAAACCCTGTTCTCACACCAAGAGGAAGGGGCAGGAAGAGCCAGCGAGTCAGGGGAAGCCTCCCACCTGGGCCAGTCTCGCTCCACTTCCGGAAGCGAGGGAGCTAAACCCCACTACGTACAGGCTCATCCTGAGAGCGGCAGCCCTCAGGGCATCCCACAGCTCTATAGTCCTCAGTGCTCCCCAACTCGCCTCCTCAGCCCAGAATGAGGTGCTCTACCCACAACATGGCGTGCCACGTTGATAAAACTAGCCAGCACAGGAGCCTGAAAGCTGCCACATCAATGCCACCGCAAACATTAAGATACGGGCTAGTCAAGGGTCAGCGACACAGTGGAGACTTTAAATAACCAAGGAAGGAAGGGGGCAGGGCGAGGCCATTGTAATCACTAGGCATCTTGGGAACTACTAGCTGGGTCTTCCAGAACACCGTTCACTCAGAGCTCGCTCTCCTTTCACCACCCAGTTCAACTCAGACGTTTGCAGAAAAGTCCCGCCGGACACCCCCGAGCAGACACTGCTGCGGGAACGTGGAGCAGGGGAAAGGTGGCCAGACAGGGAAGAGCGAGTATCCTGCAGACACCGATCAGCAGAAGAGCAGGTTCCTGCAGACACCGATCAGCAGCCATAGCCCTGCACAGCCTCCACAGGCTGCGGCTGGCCTAGAGCAGACGGTCCCTGGGCCCAGACTGCTGACCGGACCACACGCTTCTGGCCTCTGTGAAACATGTATCCAACATACAGATTTGACACACACAAAAGACAAAACAAAACAAAACAAAAAACCCATAACAAACTTCAACAAACCTGACCAAGAAACACACAAGCCAAATCACTTCAAGATGCTAGCCCTGCGTCACCAGCATCCTCTCCCAAGGAGATCTCTGTGAGTTATAGGACAGCCTGGTCTACAGAGCAAGTTCCAGGACAGACAGGGCCGCACAGAGAAACCCTGTCTCAAAAACAAACAAACAAACAAACAAACAAACAAACGAACAAACAAACAAATAAGAAGGCTGAAGGCCCAGATGCCGGAGGCCAGGACACTGGTATAAGTTCCTGGACTGTGTGCTACAGTTTATTCGTAAGCCTCAATGGACAGAGAACTTCACCATCTGCTTGCCAAGACCACCCGAAAGACTACCTTACAACCACAACAGCCCACTGGCCCTAAGCTCTGGACCCGTGGCATTCTGGACTAGTTCTGGCCTCACTTGTGGCCAGCTGTAACTCATGTATAATAAATCCTCTTTCTCACTGTCTCAGCTGAAGAACCAAAATCACCAAATAGAGCTATCTCCAAGACTCTCCAGCATCTTCCTCAGCTCCCCCAGTCCCTGAGAGGAACAGGCTGAAGGGCGACACGCGAAGCACAGGCCTACACAACGGTTACTGTGCTGGTGTAACCTGCCCCCATCCTTCCTGTGACAGGCAGCAGCCCGTAAGGAGGACCACATGGGTACTTGACACCACGTCTGATGACCAACAAAAGCCTCTCCTCTCCTGGTGACAAAACCTCCAACAGACACCTCTGGTCACTGTCCCCTGGGCATTCCCAGCCCTTTCTCCCCACCTTCCCTGGCCTCAAAGACAGCTGCTTCGCGGCCAGCTGAGGCGATGGCCCAGTTCTGTCTTACAACACGCACAAGCTTGCTAGGTCATGCCTTCAAGAAGCCAGCGCTTTCAGCATCACACAGACAGCCCTCTCCTTTGCATTTCCCCATAGTCTTTTCTCATCTTCCTTCAAAGGCAGCTGCAGCCCTCTTGCAAGCATAAGACACAAGTCCAAGATCAAAGGCCAAAAGCTAAAAGTGGCACAGAGAAAGATACCTCATGCTCGGCCCTCAACAACTGTGCCAGGAAGTGAGGCAGTGGAAACAACAGCTTCCCCCCAGGGGTGCTTTACATTGTGGGAGAAACAACCCAGCCACGACGGCCGCTACATTTGTCAGAGCCCAAAGCACTACCCGACGAAACACTTAGTGACAGCAGGACAGACTATCTCAGAAGTCGTGTAGGTAGCAGGAAGAAGCACAGAAGCTATCAGGGATGCTGAGCCCACTAACCAAGAAGGCCATGTGCCTCCCAGGGGGCAGCAGATACAGTGAGAGTGGCCAGCAGTCAGCCTGGCCTGGTCCCCTCCTCCACCACTCCTGGCTCTCCTTGCTCTTCAGGTGGCCTGCTTATTTCAGAACTCGGGGTCCTTCCTCCCTGACAACTCCCAACTTCCTCTTGTCACTGATGCTCCCTATGAGCCACTGTCAGATTACCCAGCACCATGTACCCAAGGCCTCAGACGTAAGGAAGCCGGCAGTGACAGCTGTCCTGTCCAGCCTTCCCCTTCCTGCCAGCACTTCATTAATATTTCCTAGTACTACTACTCAGAAGAAAGACCCAGCTCCACAGTCCCTCTATGTCCTGTGTCCCCTTCACAGGATCGCTGAGACTAGCAGTTGACAGGAAGCACCATCCTCATTCCATCCTGATGACCACGCGCGCGCGCGCGCACACACACACACACACACACACACACACACACACACACGTACCCTGGCTGCACCGAGCCCTCAGGCTGCCCTCGGTCCCCAGCAGCCTCTCACAGCTGGTGTCACCCTTCTCCAAGACGTCCCAGTATCCCCCCTCCCTGGCAGCTCCTTCTCCTCTGGCACCGTCTTTCCCAGGGGACCGGCCTATGGTGCCCAGGGACCACACTCTTCCCCTCCAGTTCTCTCCCCTGTAAACCTCTGAACATGGCTGAGTGTCTGTGTCCTGGGAATCACACTAACCCTGGTCTGAACTACAGCCGTCCAGCTCGGCCATCCGAGCCCCTGAATCCCAGCCCTGCGCCCGTCTCCCACAGGCGGCTTCTTCACGTAGCATCTGGAGGCTCCTACCCTGCCCTGCTTGAAATCCTCCGTGTGCATTTCCCCACACTTAGGACTCAGTCCACACCGCCGTCCTGGAGGACAGTCTGTGCTATCATCCCTCACCCCCTGCCTCACTGGCTCCACTGTCCTGGCAAGCATCGGCTCTAAGGCCTCTGACTCTGTGTCCTGCCCCAACCCTGGTACTCAGAGCTCTACTCAGCTTTATCAGAGGTCTTCCATCCATCCATGCCCTACCCCAAACAGCACCACTCCACCCTCTAGCCCAGTGGTTTTCAACAGGGGTTGGCTGTGGCCCCGGGGACACCGGTTAATGTCAGACACAGTTCTGGTTATCATAACTGAAGGGTCTACTATCTAGCGGGCAGATGCCAGGCCAGGCCGGCTGCTAAACCTCCTCCAATGCCAGTCCAGCCCACATCAGCAGTACCTAGCCTCAACTGATAACGCCAAGGTGGGGACACCCTGCCGTCTCCCCTACAGCCACCATTTCCAAGTCACCTGACAGTATACACGGAATGGCTCACCTTCCATCTTATTAGGGCTTTCTCCCTGCAGGCTCCAGCCTGGAGCAGCCAGATGGAGGCATCTGGCAGGTTCCTGTGAAATGCTAAGTAAATTAACCATAAAAATAATCTTCCGAACTGTTTCTGTGCCAAGCCTTTACCAACACGAGCTCACTTAGCTGTCGCCATAACCCTGGGAGGAATGGACAGCCATGCTCCCCACCTGGCGATAAACGCTCTGCAAAGTTACCTAACCTGCATGTGTGACAAGTGACTACGTGAGGCCAGGACTCCTGTCTAAGCACACTGGGGCGCCCATGGCCACCTGGTACCTGGACGTGACCCCACTTTGCCACGGACCCCAGCTGGACTCAGCTTCTCGGGTATTGTTCCTCTTACCCTGGTCACA